ATCATGATGGATCCTTGGAATGGGTCTGGGTCTGGGAGAGAGGTAAATAGTTAACATAGTATTTAGCCATGAAAATGTTGACATACATCAATTCAAAGAGTTTAGAAGCTGATAAAATTTAACACAATCTGATGAGCCTGAGCTTGTATCAATCCATCAATTCAAAGAGTTTAGAAGCTTATAAAAGTTAACACAAGCTGAACCTAAGCCTGTGTCAATCCATCAATTCAAAGAGTTTAGAAGCTGATAAAATTTACGGAGAAGTATGAATTTGTCCGATGCAGATTTCTGATTTACACTGCAGAGCTATAAACATTCAAAAGGACCATAACTCACATTCTATGCATCAATGTTCACCTATGAATTAGCATCAATTCCAAGCTGGCATCTACCCCAATAGTACTTTGAACCTACAAATTCTGACCCTGGGCTGATCGGTCATTCTGACCCTGGGCTGGCATCAATTCAAAGTTTAATAGCTAGGCAGTTAGCAACATCTATCCCCAGTAGAATTTGTATTGTTCATTCATACTGATACTAGCATATAATCTATCCATTTCAGTAGTAATTAATCTAATAGGTCATTGGTAACATAACCTATCAAGTGCATTCATTCAATTATAGAGTTTAAGGGTTAGTGATGATTTCTATCACTAGCTAAACATATGTTCAATCCATCAATTCAAAGATTTCAAGAACTAGTAACATCTATCCCTAGCTGAATTTGTATCACCCATTCATACTATCATGGTCTGTCCAATGCATATAATTACCATTCATTCAACACTAATCCAACAACTCATTAATAGCATAACCCATCTAGTCCACTGATTAGATATCTATCACTGATTGGATTTGGACCTATTCAATTCATCAATTCAAAGAGTTTAAGAGCTGGTAACTTCTATTTCTATTGAACTTATATCATTCATTCATATATACACTATCGATCATAACCTGTCCAATGGCAAACCTTAATAAAGTTGTGTTTTAACTACTCATTAATTGTTATCGTGACTAGAGAAGACGATTGGCATTGGAAAACCTCGATCACTATTGCTATATATTTGAAGAAGATAAGCTGAGAGAGAGAGAAGGCAGCCAAGGTATAGAAAGGATTGAGTTGAGTGAGGAAGAAACAGCCACGTCTCCTTTCCTGGCTTCTAATCCCCTATTATTTTGGTTTTCATTTTAACTATTTCTTATTAAAACATAAACAATGCCATACGTATTCTATCTTTCACATATCTTCGCTCAATTCAGATTTCAGCCCAAAGTGTTCATTCATTTTGAAAGATATTTTTGATGTTGCGTTGGATCTGGATGTTTGTTTTTTGTATGTTAACAAAAATCTATACAATCTTGGGCATACTCTTGCAAGGAGAGACTTTCGGGATCAGGGCTAATTTTTTTGTTTAACTGTCCTTGAGTGGTTGTCTGCTTAGCCTCACCTGATTGTAATATGCTGTACTTTCGGTCCTTCTTCTTGTGTTAATGAATTTAGAAAAAGCAAATGCAAGTGTGGTAACAGTTCATTTTTTCCAGATTGCCAATATCAGTGCATTATTGGGCTTAGTGCCACTTTGCTCTTAAATGGTATTTGAAGAGACACAAATGCTTTTTTGAGTGCCATCTAAGCGAACATTTGGATAGTTGATACAGAAAATTGGGGCCACGTCTCAGTGGGTATTTTGACGGTCCCAATTTTCTTGAATACAAGAAATAATGATTTGAGGCTATTCACTTTTTATCAATATTTGAATGGTTGATACAGAGAATTAGATGACACTAAAAAGACATCTATCTCTTTTCAAATGCCACTTAATGGTTGATTAACGACTAATTAAGAGTCAAGAGTGAACATGCTAGTGTTCCGCATACAAAGGTATATACAATAAAAAATGAGTGTATTACTGTTCCATGTACAAACAAACAAAAACTGTGAACAATAAACTAGAGAACCAATCAGAATGAATATACCAGTATTCACTGTTACTTCTGTATACACATCATTTCTGTTTTTATTAATAATTGAGGGCCATAGCCGCATCACACACATGACACACCAAAAATAACATTACCCCCACCACCACTCTTCGTGAGGTCCTTGTCCATGAATAAAAAGAAAGGAAACAATATAGAAAATTACTGCATTGTGGATTTCAAATCACCACGTAACCTCACATCCCCATTGGGGAATGGAATCCGAATCCTTTTAAATTATCCATTGACCATCTGTAAGATATATCATATATCCCTTGGTTTTATTATATATTTTTCATTAAATTCTAAAAACGAAATGGTTATATATTGAATGCATTTTTATGCATGGAAATGAGAATTAAAGAATTCTATGAACAGAAAGATTCAACATATTTAATCCGGTTAGCTAAAAAAAGAAGGGTAATTTATAAATCCAATTACCTAAATATCAACTAACCGGAAAATACTGACACCCACAAAATAGGGAGATTGAGGGTTATTTTTAGAAATTGCAACAAATCTATCCTCTGCCGTGATTCTTTTCAGTTTTCCCTTTCTGTTTCTAGGTGGGCTATTACTCTGAAACGGCCTCTTTTCTAATAAAAGAAAAAGGCAAACCAAGGTAAAAATCATGAAGGCAAAACTGCCAATAATCTATTGCCAAAGATGGGTCCCGGGCTAGCCATAAAACGGGTTATAGGACCCATTTTTTTTTACCGGTTTCTTTTGTTGTCCTCCAGAGAAACCCAAACTTTTAATTGATTGTATAAAAATCATGGTCTGCCCTCTCAGTCTGTTTCTTATTGTTTTCTTCTTTTATCATCTCCTTTCTGGTTGTGTTTGGTAGTTTCCTTGTTGATATGTTTTTTAGAAAACGTCCATGCAATCTTAGGCTGGTGTTTGAAATTGATGCCGTTTCTTTGAAAAATGGCATTACATCGGTGCTATGTTTGAAATTCATTTTTTCAGATAATGCCTGATGTTTGATTATGTATTTTTTTGAAAAACATTTTCTTAGATCACGTCTTAAAAATTAGGAAAGGTGTGATATAATCTGAAAAAATGCCATTTTTAATGTTTTTCATTTTTTAAATGTTATTAGAAATAATGTACTGAAAGAGCATTGAAAAACGCCTATATATGGCAGCAATAGCAATGGTACCAAATAGAAAAATGAAAAATATGTTTTCTAAGAAAACTGTATTACCAATATAATATTGTTTTCTCAAAAAAAAAAAACATCTCTTAAGAAACAGCTTTAGCTCAAAACAACGCCTCAACCATTTTGCGTCTGTTTGGCATCGATGTCGTTGCTCCAGAAAACGGTGACACATCAGTGCCACATCGGAAAAAATGGTGCTCCAATATATATTTGTTTGTTTGGAACCATTTTTTCATAAAAAACAATGCTTCAAGCCACACCTTGGAAATCAGGAAGGCGTGTCTTGGAGCAACGCTGAATTTAGCATTTCCTAAAGCTGCAGCTCATTGCTGCTAACAGGGACATGATGTGGTATTGGATAATAGGTACCAGTGCTGAAAAGGTTTCTTGGAGCATTGGTACCAAACAGAAAACGTTATTGCTATTGCTCCAAGAAACGTCCTATCTGACAGCAACGTCTCCAAACAAAAAAAAAAAAACATTGTTTTGTGCTTCCAACTCACAATGTATGTGTTTGGTTCCATTGGCGTGTTTATTGAGTAAACACTTTATATTTGATGTGACTGCAAAATCAAGAAACACAATTAATGAGAGCGTTTATGACACATAGGCACCATTAGGCACCACATCAACAAAAGTGTCAATAAACACCTACCCATTAAAGGAAGCTCCAAAATGAAGCTTCCTGAAACACGAGAGGTGCACAGGAATCGATGTTTGCAAACATCGATACATATGGATGTGCATAATGAGGCATTTGCTAATGGGATGCCTAAGTGGCAGTGTGTTTACTCAAATGAATGTTAATAGAACCAAACACATTCAGGGGCCGTTCTTTTTTTGGATTTTGAGAGTGGGGAAAATTGGTCAATGGGATTTTGGTTCCCATTGACCAAGAATCCCTTGTTCTTTTTCCAAATTTGTGGGGACCAAGGAAATTTTATTTTCTTGGGTACCACTTACCCGGGGTAAGTGATATTCATCTCCTAGGTGGGTAAATAACTTTTCCACCTAGGGAGAAAGTTGCCAACACTTGAATGGGACAAAAATGTCCCATTAAATAATAGATTTTTATGACTAAAATGGTCATTATCTTATACATAAGAAATAAAAAAAGTAAATGCAGTTATTTGGACATTTACCCGGATAAATAACTTACCGAAAGCGAAAACTGAATAGGGCCTCAGTTCTGCATCATCCATGCCAAACATATACTTTGTTGTTTGATACTTTAAACGACTGTTACATTGATGACACATCATCACAATGCTGTGCCGTATAAAAAAAATCAAATAGAACGTTTTTATGGAAACCGGGTTTTACGATTTTCCAATCAAGGCGTTTTCTCAAAAAGCATACAAACAAACAAGAGTTTCGGTTGTTAAGGTCAAAACGCTTATCTGATGCCGACGTTGCACCGTTTTTTTGAAAATGGAAACGGTGCCAAACATCCCCAAATATATAAATGAGGAAAAAAATAAAAAACCTTATGGATTTTTTGATCTCTTTGACGAGACGGGATCTGTTCCTCGCATAATTATAGCCGCATAACTGATAGTAGTACGTACCGAGTCTATGGGAAAAGACTTAAACGGGTAACTTGAGTCCGGGTCGGGTCTCAATTAAATGAATGTTATGCGTTATGCCTGTGAGGCTGTGAGTTGATTGTAACATTGTCTTCTCTTCTGTTCATTAGTGTGTTTGTTTGACAAGGTGTTGTTTTTCGTGGTTTTTTTTTTCCTGGGTTTCGTAAAACTGTAAAAGAATATCAAACGATTGTTATAAATAGAGAGGATAATCGAATTGGGTCACTATCGGGGGCTCTCAGAGCTTGGCGTTTACTCCACATCCTTTCAAAGAATCTGCATATCTGCAAATGATAACCCCGCTCTTGTGGTCTATATAGTATCGTACTATAGCAGTGGTAGAGCCGAGAGCGAGATGAATAGATCTTAGAGCTTTGAGCTTTCGAGGTTGGCATAGGTCATAGGGTCTAAACATCTGGGTAAATGGAGAGAGAAGGATACTCCTGTTTGTTTGTGGGATGTTGCTTTGTGCTTATAGAGCTAGAGAGAGAGAGAAAGAGAGAGACGCAGAGGTAGAGAGAGAAGGAGAGAGACCCACCAAATTCTGGTGTAGGAATCCTCCTCCCCGGCATCACCTTTATCCCCATGGAGCCGAATATTAACGATTATCAGGACTATGACATTATCAGATGGTTCGAAGAGGTCGCAGAGAATGCCAGCTTCATTCAGACCCAAACGCTTCGACGAATCATCGAACTGAATTTCAATACCGAATACCTTAAGAAATGGCTGGGCGACATCAAGGTCCAAGATATTGACTCAAATGCCCTGGAAGCCCTGTACACCTCTTCAGTTCCTCTTGTTTCCCACGCGGATTTAGAGCCTTACATCCAGAGAATTGCAGATGGGGATTCATCTCCAATCCTCACTCAAGAACCCATCACCCTTCTCTCCTTAAGGTGGGTATTACTTTCCCTTCATCTATTTATCTGTTTGTATATTCTTCTTCTCTTTCACAATTCTCAATCTTCTGTTCTCATTTACAAGCACCCAAATTCTAAGAATTTGTTGTTTTTCTTGTTGTGGTTATGTTCCTTCACTTCTTGTTTGGTAATCGTTACTATCTTTTTCAAGAAATTTTAAGCAACAGAGAGAAATAAAATAACTTTTACTCAGTACTATTTCATTCATTTCAAACCTCCAGTTTCTCTGTCTTTTGGATTTCAATGTCTAATTTGATTCACTCAGTGAATGGTTTTTTAAATGTCATTTGTTTGGTAGTTCGGGAACCACAGAAGGAAGACAAAAGTACGTGCCCTTCACTCGACATAGCGCGCAGACTACTCTTCAGATTTTCAGGTTGGCAGCCGTTTACAGATCGAGGTCTGGTCTGCTTCCCAATCTTAATTTAATACTCTCTCTCTCTCTCTTCCCCTTAAAAAACAATAATAAAACTTCTTCACTCTTCTTTTTTTAAAATTGAAATACTTTTCTACCATGCTTGTCCTTCTTGCTCCTGTTTGTGAATCAACATAAATAGTTGATGATGCTTTGTTTACTTTATTAACTGAGACAAAATGAGTTTTGGGTATCTATCTCCTGTTTGGCACAATATATAGGTAATTTGTTCACAACTATTCTTCTTTCTTTTAGGTTTCAATTCTTGGTCTAATGTAGAAGTTCTCTCTCTCTCATACCCATTTCTCATCTTCTTATTTGGTTGTTTGCATCAGGGTTTATCCAACCACGGCAGGAGGGAGGATCCTAGAATTCATTTACAGTAGCAAGCAGTTTAAAACAAAGGGAGGTCTAACAGCAGGAACAGCCACAACCCACTATTACGCAAGTGAAGAGTTCAAGATAAAACAGAAGAAAACAAAGACATTTACTTGCAGCCCAAAAGAAGTAATTTCAGGCGGAGACTACAAACAATCTACTTACTGTCATCTCCTCCTGGGCCTTGTTTTCTGTGATGAAGTGGAGTTCATCACCTCCACATTTGCCTACAGCATCGTGCAGGCATTTACAGCCTTTGAAGAGATATGGAAGGACATATGTAAGGACATCAAAGAAGGCACTCTGAGTTCAAGAATCACCATACCAAGCATGAGAAAAGCTGTGACTGAGCTTCTCTCTCCCAACCCATCTCTAGCTTCAAGGATTGAAAAGAAATGCAGGGAGCTAGAAGCGTTGGACTGGTTCTCTGTGATTCCTAAGCTTTGGCCCAATGCTAAATATGTTTACTCGATAATGACAGGGTCAATGCAACCTTATCTGAGAAAACTAAGGCACTACGCAGGGAATTTGCCTATAGTGAGTGCTGATTATGGGTCCACAGAGAGTTGGATTGGGGTAAATGTCGATCCTTCTGCCCCTCCGGAGGATGTTACTTTTGCAGTCATACCCACCTTTTCTTATTTCGAGTTCATACCCCTTCATAGGCAGAACCAAGATAGCTCTTCAGCCATTGATGACTTCATAGAAGCTGAGCCACTACCACTCTCCCAACTTAAGGTCGGACAAGAATATGAGGTTGTCCTCACCACTTTCACAGGTCTCTCTCTCTCTCTCTCTGAAATTTCAAATTACTAATTTGTTGTTATGTGATGATGGGGATGGGCTGTTTGGTAAATACGTCACACCAATATGGGGATGTGGCTGCACGTGGAGACCTTTGCATTGTCACGTCATTGCCACTTGCAAGATTCTTGGGCTTCCTTCATTTGTGCATGTGGTGTGGATCTCCATTGTGTAGAGGGCGAGCTCGGATTTGATACCCACAAGACACCACAGCCGTGCATCGTGAATGACAACTGAAATACTACTGATGTGCGGCTGAAATATCTTGTGGGTAGCAGATCCGGACTCACAGAGAGGCCATTATAATAATATGTGTCATATATAACATCTTCCCCAAATAACCGGATTGGTTACCAATTGACCCAGACCCAGATGGCATAAACTTCTCATTACATTACTGATGTTGATCGTTACTAGCAGCAGATTAGATCCGCAGCATTAGGGTTAGCAGTTATAGTTACTAGTCAGTAGTCACGATTTATTTATTATGAATACTTCATCAGAAGCCCGATTTTTAGGATCAAGGTGGTTATCAGTCACGATCTTCACCATTTCATCAAGAGCACAATTTTTAAGGACCACCAAAGATTCAAAATGTCATAATTCTGTCCTTACCTTGGAGTTGGGCCCATTAATTAAAAGGGAGTTTTGAGGTAGATAAGGTATGGTGTGATCGAATCTATTGTCTTGCACCCATCTGGGGTGGTTGAAAACTTGAAATCACATGAAAGGTTCTATAATGTGGATATATTGTTAGCAAAATTATTTCTTTCATTTATTAAGCGATGATTTAATGTCCATTATTATGATTGGGACTGATTCACCACGCCATATCCTTCAAAGAACGTTGAATAAATGTATTGTGTGTATCAAGCCAAGCTATCCACATAGGATATCCACCATATGAAAAACCCCATTTGGTGGATTTCTTACTCACTTTCTTTACCCACACCCTCTCTACATCTCACAATACAAAATGGCGATATGTTGTTGCAATTCAATATGGGTAGAGTGTAGTTTTCGAACTGCCATTGATCTGAACAGTCGGACCATTCGGCTCAGGAACCATTTAGACAGTCGGTTCCATTTTATTTCAAATCTAGTCTTTGATAAAAAATCGTTGAATTAGTTAATGAACTGTTGATTCGGACAATTAAACTGTCAATTCGTTTAACCCGTTTAATAGTTTTTGGTCATTTTTTAATTTTAATTATTTTTTTTAATTTATTTTGTCAGAATGGGCTATTTGTTTGGATCGAATGGTTAAACCGTCGACCCGAAAACGAGTGGCTAGAACAGATCCGATTCCGGGTCGTTTTTTAAAACATTGGGGTTGAGACTAGTGGGTAAGAAATCCGGTTTGCCCAAGTTGCTTGTTTCAAACCCCAAATAATCCATAACCCTTCAGCCCTGGTGGCAGCGGGAGGGATTTGATTCTAGATCTCCACTAAACAACTAAAGAACCTACCAACTGAACCACCATTTGTTGGTAGAGGGAACTTGGAGTGGAGGGGTTGAATTATCAATCAACTAACTATATAATATCATAGAACTATATATGATTCTCTTTTCTTTTGTATGTATATGTTCCAGGTCTTTACAGATACAGATTAGGAGATGTGGTGGAGGTGGCAGGTTTTTACAAAGGAACTCCGAAATTGAACTTTATATGCAGAAGAAAGCTAATTCTGACAGTAAACATAGACAAAAACACAGAGAAGGACCTTCAAGTGGTGGTGGAGAGGAGTTCCCAGCTGCTGGGGAAGACGAGAGCTGAGCTAGTGGACTTCACAAGTCATGCCGATATCGCCAAACAACCAGGGCACTACATAATATACTGGGAGATCAAGGGTGAAGTGGACGAAGGTGTTCTGGGTGAGTGTTGCCGGGAGATGGATGCATCCTTTGTCGATCATGGATACGTTGTCTCCCGGAGGACCAATTCCATTGGGCCCCTGGAGCTCTGCATTGTCGAGAGGGGTACATTTAAGAAGATTTTGGATCATTTTGTGGGGAATGGAGCTGCTTTGAGCCAGTTTAAGACTCCTAGGTGCACTAGTAACCAGGTCCTGTTGAGAATTCTCAATGTTTGCACCATTAAAAGGTTCCTCAGCACAGCTTATGGATAAGACTTAGAGACTGACAGCAACCAATATGCGGTACTGGAGTCTGTTAGGTTTAATTATTTTTGTGAATAAATTAAAGAGTGTGTTTTTGGTATCGTTTTCAAAATGAAAGTAGTGTTACAATACAAACAAAACCTATCTAGTTCCCTTACTTGTTTTATCATCAAATTATCTTCATCCATCATCACCTAAGCCTTGTCCTAACTAGCTTATATGCGTTGGCTACACGAATATTGTTCTGTTCGATACCATATCTAGGAGTGTCAATTGGACTGGATTTGGTCCAATCTGATCCAGTCCAATGTGAGTTCATTATAAATGGACCAGGTCCAATCCAATCTAAAAAGTGTTCTGGATCAATTTGTATCGATCCAATTCAATGTCTGGATCATCCAATCTATTCAAATTCATTTTGGTTTAGATTGGTTCCAACTCAAACCCGGTCCATTGACACATATATTCTTATCTTATATCAATGGACCAGATATTGGTTTAATCCAACCCAATCCAATATAAATTTGTTACGGACGAACAAAATCGAATCCAATCTAATAAATATTTTGGACTAGATTGGTCCAATCCATTATATCTTGCTGGTCCATTTAATTTTGGATTGGACGGGTCCAATCCAAAACCGGTCCATTGACACCCTTAACCATATCCGTCATGGTTAAATTATTATTATTATTTTTTTTTTTGTCTCTTACCCCTTCTAACCCCTTATAAATTTATAGCATATCACTGAACACACAATCACACAGATATATGTGTAAACTAGTGAACCTGAAAACATGAGAGCTAGATAATTGACAATTTGTTAAAGCACCAAACGACAAAAAATAACTACATCTTTTGGTGGTATAATACTAGCTAGTTTAGGGGACTCTTATCACAAACAAACTCTTATCGTTTTGTTTTATTAATAAAGGCATTCCTTTAGGGACGGGATTTAGTAGGCACAATATAGTAAAGTAAGCATGCTCAACGAGTATTTGATAATATCAAAAATGGTTTTTAATCTTTTTCAAGGGTATATTGGGATATTTTAAGGGACAATTGTCAAAAACAATTTAGCAATTTCTAAGTGTTCATTGAATATACTTACAACGTCGTCGTCGTGCCTACCTGATCCGGACTGATTCCTTTAACCCACGTGGTTAAATGCCGGAGCTGAATCGAACTTTGGAGTTAGGATAGATTCTCCACGTGGTTATATATAATTTGCTAGTATGGTGTTTTAGTGAAGAAATCTAAATGACCCTAAAATCATTGACATAGTTACGTGGCCATGACGCCTGCTGAACGGCAATCGGCAGGGAATCATACTCTCCGTCACTGTCCCTGATTTTTAAGTAATTTCCCATCCCTCAAGCCAAAAAATAGATCTCCATCCCCAATCCATGATGGAGATGGGTTGGTCATTGAAGAACTGAATCTCCAAATTGATTTTTTAACTAAAAACTTGCTTTAGTTTTGAAGGGCATAGAGATGCATATATGATTGGAAAAAAGATTTACTTAAAATGAAAAAAAAAAATGAAACATAATCATTGAGCCAAATTGGTTGACCACTTAGCTAAACATTATTAATCACTAAGATAACATAAAAATTGAAATTTGTCCGATATATATTGTGGCATTCTTGTAATCATATATTCAGGTCAAGGTCATATCCAAATAGGAAAATTACCATCCTATTTGTATTTGCACTTTTTCCAAATGCAAAACGGAGCCTAAAATTTTGAGAGAATTTGTTTTATATCCAATAGGTATGTAAAGCATAGATTGGAAGCCAAATTATTTATGCCAACAGAGAGGTTGCTCAATTGGTACATTAGCTGGTTTGTTCCAGCAGAAATGCATATTTGATTCCTGCAACCATCGACTTTGAGGAGGGAGTTATTAGTATCATGGTTTTTAAAATCGACCAGGAGACCGAACTGGTCAGGGGTCTGGTTACTGAGTTGAACGGTTCGATCATTCTGACAAAAAAATTAAAAAAAAAATGAAAAGAAATAAAAAAATGAAAACTGGTCAAAACCATTCGAACGGTTAACCGCCCGGGTCAGTGGTTTACTGACCAAAATCAATGATTTTTATGAAAAATCCGATTTTGGGGAAAACCGGAACTGATCACCTGACCGGTTCTCGGTTTTTTTGGTCTGACCATCTGGTCCGGTCCGATTAGTATGGTGTTGTACTATTCAAACGGCCCTTATAGGAGATTTGGGGGTATCACCAAAATAACATATCCAACAGGTATGTAAAGAATAGATTTGAAGCCAATTCATTTATGCCAATTGAGACGTCGCTCAATTGGTAGATTAGCTGCTTTATTCTAACAGAGATGCATATTTGATTCCTGCAACCACCAACTTTGGGGAAGAGGTTATTAATGTCGTGTTATGCTATTCAGATGGCCCCTATAGGAAATTTGGGGGTGTCACCAAAATAACATATCCAGGTAATTCAATTAAACTGAGTAAATTTACATATCAAATATTACACGATTTCACTTTTTTTTTATGAATATTTCACTGGTTAAGTGACTTGAGTCATTAGAAAAGTCATCCAAACAACCCAAAAAATTTGCAAGTGGATACGGGGTTGACCCAAAGGGCTCCTACGCATGGCGCCCTCTACACCTAATTATGGGACAACTTAATGCTGTGTGTTTCGGTTTGATAGGAAATAAAGAGAAAATTAGAAATTTTTTATTTTTGTAAAATTTACCCTCAACTTTGTATTCTCTATTATTTTTTATAAAACAAAAAATACCGTAAAAGCCCTTTATCTTACATGGTTTCTTCCGAGTTCACATCTCCGCCCCACAATGCCCCACAACACATCCCCGCCATGTATCGAGAGCATCTCCCAATGATGACATCATCGGTTCTAGTATATTATCGGGACATGTTCCCAGTACATGGTGGGGATGTGCTGTGGGGCATTGTGGGGTGGGACGTTGTGGGGCGGAGATGTCGTCTCGTTTCTTCCATGAGTTTTGGATTTTCAGATTACGAGTTTAAATTTTGTCCCAACATGCCACTACAGCCGCCCATGGTGAGATATTCCTAATGTATCTTGTTGGGACAATTGTTGTGCCCTTTTACTGAGACTTGATCTGGACTCTTATATATATTAGAGGAACGACTTCTGTGTAGCAGGTTGTGGAACCAATGATGATGCTCCACACCAATGATGAAATACATGGGACCCACTTCAAAGGTTGGATGGTTGTGGGCCCCATGTATTTTATCACTGGTGTGGAGTGTTGTTGTTGGTTCTACAGCTTGTTCAACGGTTAAAGCATTCAGCTAATCCTATACAAGATTGGATTAGCTGAACTTAATAGTTTTTTCGGCCGTGGAACCAATCATTTTTCTGCACAATGCTCAATCTCTCACATGTATTTATGGCTGTCTTAGAGGAAAAATGATTGATCCCATCTTGAAAAACAGCTACCAAGTTTAGCTAGTCCATTCTAAAAATAACGAGTTCAAATCAGCTCCCCACAACGTCGCACAGCACATTCCTGCCTTGTATTGGGAACATCCCTCGATGATAATCTCAGGAATGATGATGTCATCATCGGGAGATGTTCCCAATACACGACGAGGATGTGTTGTGGGATATTGTGGGGGACAGTCTTGTGGGGGGCTGATTCGGTCTCAAAAATAACAACCTCCGCCCACCATGTCAGGAATTTAGAATTCAGATTTGCTCCTCACAGAACACACTTCACACCAACTTCACAACACACCACAGCCATCAAGTGTGAGAACATCTTCCCATGAATGATAACAACAAGTATGAGAGATATTTTCAATGCACAATTGTGGTATCCTGTAAGGTTGGCGTAAGGCACACTTTGTGAGGAGCAAATCCGATCTTAGGAATTTATGGTTTGCATTAATGGTTATCAGTTTTGTTGCATTTGATACAAGGAGGTTTATATCATCACTGTCACTAGGTATTACCAAAGTTTGCTGCAAAATCGGATTTGATGATCACAAATTTGTGCTCACACCATTCTCACAACCCTTTTCAGCCATGCATTGGGAATATCTCTCCATGAAGAATGGATGTAAGAACAGTGTGAGCACAATTTTGTGAGGAATGAGTCCACCCCTTTTTGTTGTATGCATACGGTTGAAAAAGGAAAAAGATGAATTTACTTGCTTAGCTATAGCAAGATCACAATCAGCACCCCACATGCACATCTTAGCGTGCATTGGAAATATCTTAAGCCTACTAGTCATTGGGAGATGTTCCCAATACATGATTGCGATGCGATGTGATGTGAGGTGCTGTGGGGCGCAGATGTAAACTCAGCTATAGCCACTCATTTGGGCCCTTTGTGGGTCTCTCTTCCTAACCTGAATTTAGATCTCATGTGAATACAAGTGTCATGCAGGCCCCATGTATACTCAGTACTGGCATATTCATTATAATTGGTTATTAAGCCAGGTTTACATATTTGTAGATCGTATATATCATGTGGCTCCTCATCTAATAATACTATAAAAGTGGGAATGGTCTTTGACTGCTTTTAGATTATCCCTGTCTCAGAGGGCAAAAAATTGGAACTTACACTTTCCAATTCATCTCTCTCCTAGTGATTTTTATTTAAAGAAATTTTTGTTAATGGTACGGAAGTCAATATTTTAAATAAATAAAATTTAGCCTCTACGAATTAACTCTAAACCCCATTAACTTAATGGTATAAAAGTCAATATTTAAAACCAGCCTAGAAACTAAACCATATCACAAGTCATCAATTCAACCATTTCACTTGAATGGGCCAACACATGATGCTATAATTAAAAATAAAAAAGTTTAAATAAATAAAAATATAAAAGCATATAAAATACATAAATTTTATAGAAAAATTCAAGCACACCTCTAATATCAAGGATCTAAGCATCAGTATCAAGTATCGTATTAGATAACTCAGATACAAATATGGATATGGATATGGATTCTTTTTGGAAACGCATGGATATGGATGGAAAATTTGGATACACTAGGGAAATGCATACAAATCCCATAAATGTAGTAATAACCAAGGATTATATTGGTATTGGATATTAAA